TGGGTGCTGTGGTCACTCTTTGGTCACTCCTGGGTGCTGTGGTCACTCCTGGGTCACCTTTGGGTGCTGGGGGTCATCTTTGGGTGGCAGGGGTCACCTTTGGGTGGCAGCGGTCACTCCTGGGTGCTGTGGTCACTCTGTGGTCACCCTTGGGTGCTGTGGTCACTCCTGGGTCCTGAGGTCACCCCTGGGTGCTGTGGTCACTCCTGGGTCCTGAGGTCACTCCTGGGTGCCGTGGTCACTCCTGGGTCCTGAGGTCACTCCTGGGTGCCGTGGTCACCCCTGGGTGCTGTGGTCACTCCTGGGTCACCTTTGGGTGCTGGGGGTCATTTTTGGGTGCTGGGGGGTCACCTTCGGGGCCTGGGGGTCATCTTTGGATGTCAGGGGTCACTCCCAGGTGCTCTGGTCACTTCTGGGTCACCTTTGGGTGCTGAGGGTCATCTTTGGGTGTCAGGGGTCATCTTTGGGTGGCTGTGGTCACTCCTGGGTCACTCCTGGGTGCCGTGGTCACCCCTGGGTGTTTGGGTCACTCCTGGGTCACCTTTGGGTGCTGGGGGTCACCTTTGGGTGGCAGGGGTCACTCCTGGGTGCCGTGGTCACCCCTGGGTGCTGTGGTCACACTCCTGGGTCACCTTTGGGTGCTGGGGGTCATTTTTGGGTGCCGTGGTCACTCCTGGGTGCCGTGGTCACCCCTGGGTATTTGGGTCACTCCTGGGTCACCTTTGGGTGCTGGGGGTCATCTTTGGGTGCTGTGGGTCATCTTTGGGTGCTGTGGTCACTCCTGGGTCATCTTTGGGTGGCAGGGGTCACCTTGGGTGGCAGGGGTCACTCCTGGGTCACCTTTGGGTGCTGGAGGGCATCTTTGGGTGGCCATGGTCACTCCTTGGGTGGCAGGGGTCATCTTTGGGTGGCAGGGGTCACTCCTGGGTGCTGTGGTCACTCCTGGGTGTTTGGGTCACTCCTGGGTCACCTTTGGGTGGCAGGGGTCACCTTTGGGTGGCTGTGGTCACTCCTGGGTGCTGTGGTCACTCCTGGGTGTTTGGGTCACTCCTGGGTCACCTTTGGGTGCTGGGGGTCACCTTTGGGTGTCAGGGGTCATCTTTGGGTGGCTGTGGTCACTCTGTG